CTAGCAGCATCTCTCTAAATAGTCCCACGCCAACACCCCCAGTGGTGAACCTGGAGTTCTCCAACCCTGATTGGTTCTTGTGAGTCTCCCGGGCTCACCCCATTGGGCCAGTGGCCGCTGCCCCGCCCCCAGTGGGCGGTGCTAACGGGACTCCAGGAGCGCAGGGCTTTTACTGCCCTGGGGCTGCCCGTGGCTTTGCAACAAGTAACACTAACTTGCAGGGAATCCTGATTTAGGCGCCCCCTCCTCTCATCTGGGAGCTTCTCTGCCCTACTTTCCCTTTCTTTCCTTACCCTAATTAAAGCTTTTATTTAAAAAAAAAAGAAGAAAAAAAGCAAACAAACCCAACCCCCAATTTTTAAAATCTAATCCAGTAGTTTTTCTCGCGTGCAGAGGGGGAACCCAGCAGCTGGGAGATGATCCTGCCTCCAGAGAGCTCAAACTTGACCCTGTGCGAGCTCGAACCCTGCCTGGCCCCATCTGGAGCGCCACCTGGAGCAGCCCTGGTGACCCCCAGCACCCCCGCTGCTGCTGCCCTGCGGGTCCCAATGCACAGACAGACACGGCCAAGATAAAATCACACCCTCAAGGCAAAAGGGTAGGACTTGGGGAGATCTTGCCTAACGATCAGACGGACCAGACTGCTTCAGTCCTCTGGGACAGACAGAAGCAAATTGGGGTGTGTGGGGGGGAACCCAATACAACTAGCTGGGGCTGGGGTGAGGGGGGAACGCGCTGATCAGGAGATCAGGAGAGCAGGTGGGGGTGGGAGAAATGGGAGGGGGTCCTCCTTAGGGGCGGGACCCTTCCTAGTAGACTTACTCAGGTATGACACTCCACACTGCCTGACAGTCTACAGTACCGAGAACTCAAGCTTAAGCAATTCAATGGTAAAATAGAAAAATTAATTAATTAAATTTGAAAGGGAAAAAAGGAAGCACATGAATTTATTGCTGTTGCTGGGTTTTTCTTTCTTTTTTTGCGGGGGGGAGTCGGTGTCTGGGGCTCACTCCTGATCCTGTGCTCAGGGATTAGTCCCCATCGGATTTAGGAGACCATAGAGGGTGCCAGGAACTGAACCGTGGTTGGCCGCAGCAAGGCAAGTTTGCTCCACCCACTATACTATCTCCACTCCCAAGATTTTTGGAGGGAGGTTGGGCTTGGAGGTCATACCTAACGGTGCTCAAAGCTTGCTCCTGGCTCTGTGCTCAGCCCATCACTCCTAGCTGGGCTCTGGGGACCATGTGGGGTGCTGGGGATTGAACCCCATTCAGCCGCATGCAAAGCACTTACTATACTATCTCTCTGGTGCCTGTTTGGGAGTTTTTGTTCTGTTTTTTTTTTATTTGTTTGTTTTAAGTTACTGACTTTTTAACCTTTCTTGAGGAAAAACACAAATTAAAGGGAAATCTAAGCACTTCACAATTATGGCCAGGTTTCTCTGGTGCTTTGGCCAACATTCCCAACCCTGCGTTTGCATCCTCTCTCTCTCTCTCTCTCTCTCTCTCTCTCTCTCTCTCTCTCTCTCTCTCATCTCTTGCCTCTCTCTCCTCTCTTTTTCTTTCTTTCTTCTTTCTCTTTCTCCTTTCTCTCTTCCCTCTCTCTCGTTCTCTCTCCCCTCCCCCTCCCCCTCTCTCTCTTTCTCCCCACATCTCTCTCTCCCCTTCCAGGAACTTCCAACTAGCTCTGTTTGCACACAAGACCAGGATGACACAGTGGTCACCAGAACCATGGACACAGTGAGTAGTTCCTTCCTGGTTCTAGTGGGGGGTTGGGGGGGGGGTCTGCTGCTAAAAATAATTCAGTCCTGGCCACTCCCCACACGCTCACATATGAGTGAACATATTCCTGGACTGCGTGGCTGCAAAAGCCACATCATAAAACACTCCCTAACTATTCTCCATAATGACCACACCACATTTGATGGGGTTCAGATAGTAGGCAACAAATCATCCACGGTCCACGGTCCACGGTCCTCCCGTTGTTCATCGATTTGCTCGAGCGGGCCCAGTAACGTCTCCATTGGAGACTTTGTTGTTACTGTGTTTGGCATATCGAATACTCTCGGTAGCTTGCCGGGCTCTCCGAGAGGGGCGGAGGAATCGAACTCGGGTCGGCCATGTTGGCCACTTGCAAGGCAAACGCCCTACCGCTGTGTTACCGCTCCAGCCGGGAAATAAATATATATATGCATATATACATATTTTCAGACATATATACCAAAGCTCCGACCATCTCCGAATGCAACAGCTATGTGTACCTAGGTCGAGAGGTCAACATGAGAAATGACCTGGCACCCGAGCTGCGCAGGAGGAAGAGAGCGGCTTGGAACGCCTTCAAGAGTGTCGAAGAAATAGCTAAGAGGACGAAGAACCTCCGGCTCCGAGCACATCTCTTTGATTCCACTGTTCTTCCTGCATTAACATATGCCTCAGAGACCTGGGCCCTACGCAAACAAGATGAGAACGCCATTCAGGTCTCCCAAAGAAGAATAGAAAGAGCTATGCTTGGAATATCACGTTTCACTCAAATGAGAGAACGAATCCGGAGTTCTGACATCCGTCGACGATCAAGGATCAGGGACGCTGTCTCATTTGCCAAGGTGTCGAAAATCAGATGGGCTGGTCACGTAATGAGATTTAAAGACAACCGCTGGACTAGAGCTATTACTGACTGGATTCCACGGGATGTCAAAAGACCGCGTGGCCGCCCACCTACCAGATGGTCAGACTTCTTCGTCAAGATCATGAACGATCGGTTTGAGGCCCTTCATGTTCCCGGAGCGAACAGATGCCATTGGGCTACACTAGCACGAGACAGGGACAAATGGAGACGTTACTGGCGCCCGCTCGAGCAAATCGACGACTAACGGGAAGTTAAGTGATTAAGTGATTAAGTGTTAGTGATATCCTATAGCATGTCTCAATGGCTCCTGCCAAAATAAAACAATCCTCACACCGTTTCCTATATGAACACTTTTTAGGTAAGCATGTTCAGCAATTGTTCACAACACATAACACAAAATATATTATTTCAGTTGTGTTTTGGGACAGGGATTGGGTTTGGGCATGGAAACATCCCAAATTTGGTGGTGGGAAGGTGCAATGGTGGTGGGATTGGTGTTTGAATATTGAATGTAATCAAACATTGTGAACTTATGAAAGTTATAAAAAAAAAGTGAACTTATAAAATTAAAAAAATTAAAAAAAAGTATTGTGGTGTTGATGCCCAATTCAATCAGCTTAATCAATGGCTGGATAAATAGCAATGCTCCTACATTATAAAAAAATAATAATAATAAAATAAGATTTAAATAGTTCAGTCCTTCCTGGCAAGCTCCCCGTGACGTATTCGATATGCCAAACACAGTAACCACAAAGTCTCACAATGGCGACGTTACTGGGCCCGCTCGAGCAAATCAATGAACAACGGCGGACAGTGACAGTGACAGTGACAGTCCTTACCAACACTGATATCCTGTGATGACAGTGTGAGCTAATCAATGCCCTCGCAGTGGCTTTTGTTTTTCAGTGCAGGGCTGGTTCCCGAGAAACGCCACCCACGTACCTGCAAATGTCCTTTCGTGGAATCTGTTGTTGTTTGTGTTTCTCTTTCCAGGGAACTTGGCGAAACCCGGGTCAGCAGGGGACCCAGTGGCCAAAGGGCTCTGTCTTGGCCCAGCCACAACTCTGTTTTCTCGGTGGGGAAGAGAAGGTGGCATTGCTTCCCCCCCGCCTTCTTTTTTTTTTTTAGTTTTGGGGCCACACCTGGTGATGCTCAGGGGTTACTCCTGGCTACGCACTCAGGAGTTATTCCTGATGGTGCTCCGGGGCCCATATTGGATGCCAAGGATTAAACCTGGGTCAATAGCATGCCTTATCCGCTGTACTCTTTCCCTGGCCCCAGGAGGGTGGCATTTCTGTGCCCTAAAACTGAGCGAGAGCAACAGCACAGTGGGGAGGGCATTTGCATAAAACCAACCTGGGTTCAACACCTGGCAGCGTCCCATATGGTTGCCAGAGCCCGTCAGGAGTGGTCCCTGCGTGCAGAGCCAGGAGTAACCCCTGAGCATGGACAGAGGTGGCCCCAAAACAAAAAACAAACAAACAAACAAACAAACAAAACGCCTGAAAAACTGAGTGGGAGGCTGGGAGGTGTGCTCCGCGTATAGGACATCCCTGGCATGGAAACGAGCCTTCTCAAAGTTACTCTGTCCATTTCAGAATGTTAAGTATTCCCGATACTTACCCCAGTGCTCCCCTGACTCCCACCCCATAGCAGGGATGGAACCCAGAGCCTCTGGTTCTTGCTCTGAATCAAATCCTAGGCCTGGGAAAGTTGTTCACATGCCCCTCCCCACACACACACACACGATTTTTTGGGTCACACCCAATGGTAAGAAGGCTCACTCCTGGCTCTGTGCTCAGGGCTTACTCCTGGCTCTGTGCTCAGTGATCACCCCTGGCGAGCTGAGAGAATCAAATGGGTAAGTTCTCTATAGTTCCTGGGAAGCATGCTTTTTCAAGTACCTTGTTCATTTCTTAGTCCTTCAAAAATATAAAGATTCTGGGGGCTGGAGCGATAGCACAGCGGGTAGGGACGGACCCAGGTTCGATTCCCAGCATTCCATATGGTCCCCCGAGCACCGCCAGGAGTAATTCCTGAGTGCAGAGCCAGGAGTAACCCCTGTGCATCGCCAGGTGTGACCCCTCACCCCCAAAAAAGAAAAAATATATAAAGATTCATTTTATTAACATTATAAGGCTGTTTTGTTACAAAAGATATGTGAGGGGCCAGAGCGATAGTATAGCTGGTAGGGCATTTGCCTTGCATGAGACCAACCCGGGTTCGATTTCCAGCATCCCATGTGATCCCGTGAGCACCGCCAGGAGTAATTCCTGAGTGTAAAGCCAGGTGTGACCAAAAGAGCCAAAAAGCCAAAAAAAAAAAAAAAAAGGCATCTCTTATAATCTGACCTTGGAGAAATTGTTTAAACTTACCAGGTATGATTACTTTATCGTAGGGTGCTATTTTGCCTTTGCCTTCATAGTCCTCTTCTTCATCTTCATCTAATTAAAATATATTTAAATATATCTACATATCTACATATATAATTAATTAAAATTAATTTTTTAAGTATAAATATACATATCTATATCTCTATATAAACATGGTCATGTTTGTTATATATCATGGAAAGCCCAGCCAAAATTTTAAACTTATTATTTTAATGTTTAAACCAATCTATTTCTGTGTTGAGGTATCAATAGTTTGCAATAATACTGAAGTCTTCATTTTAAAATTGCATCATTCTGCCGACCCCTCCACCATCCCACGTTCCCACAGCCCCCAGCCACTCCCCCACTCTCCCATTAAACTTTTTTTTGGTTCTTTGTTTGCTTGTTTTTATTCTGGGGCCATATGTGGCAGTGCTCAGGGAATGATCTGGCTCTACGCTCTGGGATCACTCCTTAGTCCTTCAAAAATATGAAGATTCATTTTGTTAACATTACAAGGCTATTTTGTTACAAAAGCTATATGAGGGGCCAGAGCGATCGTATAGCTGGTAGGGCATTTGCCTTGCATGAGACCAACCCGGGTTCGATTCCCAGCATCCCATATGATCCCCTGAGCACCATGCAAGAGAAGTTTTGCATGCAAGAAACCCGGCAGTGATTGGAGCATCTCCTGAGCACATTGCTGGTTTGGGTGGTTCTTGGGTAACCAAATGGGGTGCCGAAGTTTGAGCCCAGGTCGGTTGCATGCAAGGTAAATGCCCTCCCTGATGTATAATCATCTGGAGCCCCAACATTAAACTTTTTTTGGGGGGTCACACCTAGCAATGCACAGGGGTTACACCTGGCTCATGCACTCAGGAATTACTCCTGGAGGTGCTCAGGGGACTATATGGGATGCTGGGAATCGAACCTGGGTTGGCTGCGTGCAAGGCCCTACCACTGTGCTATCTCTCCAGTCCCCCAACATTAAACCTTTAAAGCTCGTAGACACTAGTGAAAACTAGCCACACACCGAAAGACTGTATTCTAGACATAGTTGCTTTTGATTTTGGCTTCCTTAGGATCAGTGATGATTCCTTTGAAGATAAGAATGGAAACTTTTCTGCAGATGAAGTCAAAGTAAGGGGACCACTCCAACTTACGACTAAACAGGTCTCTTGCTTGATCATAGGTCTTGGGATATCCATCCAAAATGTAGCCTTGATTTCTGCAGGGCATGGACTTCAGCTTCTCTCTTACAAACCTAGTGATATACTGATCTTCCAGATGGCCTAATACAAAAGGAAAAAATTACTCGAAAATGATAATCTATGTAGGGGATATTTTAAACCATCATCTGAAAAGTCAGAGTCAGAGTCTCCTGCCCGCGCCTGGCTGTCCTCGCTGGGGCCCCTTGGAGGGGGGCGGGTTGAGTTTCCCTCCCCGTCCCGACCAGAGCTCCGGCAGCCAAAGACCTCCAGAACCAGCCACCACCATGCTGAGACCACTCTCCGCACACATGAAGATAATGGCAGAGGAACAGAGGCATGCGGGTCCCGGGACTGAGATCTTCAAGCCTACTCGGATCGGGGCTGAGCATCCTCCACCCAGATCCTCCAAATTCCAGTAGGTGGGGGTCACACCCACCAACTGGCCCCCTGGCACTGTGTAATCCCATCAACGGCCAAGACTCAGAGACTATAAAACCCAGTTCCCGGAAGCGCGCGGCCGCATTCGAGGCCACGTGACATCTTATTATCTCATTCCTACTTTGGACAAACTGGCAGGCTACCAAATGTAATCTGCTCACATGGCAGAGTCTGACAAACTCCCCGTGGCGTACCCAATATGCCAAATACCAGTAACAATGATGGGTCTCATTCTCCTAACTCTGAAAGAGCCTTGAATATGGCACTTTTTAAAAAAATCTCAGGGCTAGGACGAAGGAGATGTTACTGGGGCCTGCTCGAGGCAATCGACGAATAACAGGATGGTTGTGATCGTGATCGTGATCATCTGAAAAGAGTCTGTGTCAGGGCTGGCGAGATAGTAAGAGATTAAGGCAGATTAAGGCTCTTGCCTTGCATGTGACTGACCTGGGTTCAGTCCCCAACCCCCAGGTTTGGTGCCCTGAGCACCGCCGGGAGTGATCCCAGTGAAGAACAGGGAGAAAGCCTGGAGTATAACCAGATGTGGTCCAAACTCTCCCCGCCACCCCATCACAAAGATCTTTGTGCCTGAGTAGACAGCTCAACATGCATGTTTTGCACGCAAGAGACCCAGCACTGATTGGAGCATCTCCTGAGCACATTGCTGGGAGTAATCCCTCAGCCAGGCTGGGGAAAGCACTGCCTGGCAAAAAAAATAAATAAATAAAGCAAATCTTTTGCCAGGTCGGGGTGTGGCTCAGCGGTATAACACACCCATACCTTGTGCAAGGGTCTGCATTCGGTCCTCAGTACCGGCCCCCGCCAAATACACATGACCCAAAACTGCTTTGGATAGTCCAGCAGGTAGGGTATTTGCCTTGCATGCATGCAGCAGGCTTGGGTTTGATCCCCGGCATCCCAAATGGTCCCCTGAGCACTGTCAGGGGTGATTCCTAAGTAGAGCACCAGGAGTTACCCTGGAGTATCACTGGCTATAATTCCTGAGTATATGAGCCAGGAGTAACCCCTGTGCATCGCCAGGTGTGACCCAATAAGGAAAAAAAAATCATGCCTCATTTTATTTTATTTTATTTGCTTTTTGGGTCACACCTGGCGATGCACAGGGGTTACTCCTGGCTCTGCACTCAGGAATTACCCCTGGCGGTGCTCAGGGAACCATATGGGATGCTGGGAGTCGAACCCGGGTCGGCTGCGTGCAAGGCAAGCCCTGCCTGCTGTGCTATTGCTCCAGCCCTCATGCCTCATTTTAAAACTGCACCAAACCAAACCAAACCAAACAAAAAACTGTACCCAAGTTACTATAGAAAATCCTTCATTTTCTCCCTGAATGGAAAAAAAAAAAAACCCGTGTGGGTTTGTATTTTGAGCACCACACTTGGATTCTGATGTGCAGTGAGGTAGGAGAACCCAGAAAGCTCCTACTGCAGGAAAAACCAGCACTGTGGGCCGGAGTGAGCGCACAGCAAGGGAGGGCACTTGCCTCACATGTGCCTGACCCAAGTCCAGTCCCTGGCACCACATATGCTTCTCTGAGACTGCCAGGAGCGATCCCAGGGCACAGAACCAGGAGTAAGCCCTGAGCACTGCCCAAGAACCAGAAAAAAAAAAAAGAAAAGAAAAAGAAAAAGAAAAACCAGGAGTGATGCTAGTGACCTCTCTGTGGCCACAGTGAAGCAGGTGACCTCATTCACTCCCACTTACCACCAGCATTTAGGTTCTGCCGTGACACTGTCTCGATGCTGTAACCTAAACACCCCCATCAAGAGAGATCAGTGAGGATGCTCTCCTGGGGGAGGGGAGAGGGGGAGGGGTTGCCCACACCTGGTTTATTCCTCATTGGTGCTCAGGACTGCGTTTGAGTAAACTCATGCCTTTGGGGCTGGAGCGATAGCACAGCAGGTAGGGCGTATGCCTTGCAGGCAGCCGACCCAGGTTCGATTCCCAGCATCGCATATGGTCCCCAAAGCACCGCCATGAGTAATTCCTGAGTATATGAACCAGGAGTAAGCCCTGTGCATTGCCGGGTGTGACCCAAAAAGAAAAAAAAAATCATGCCTCATCTTTAAAGCTGCAGCAAAGAGTGTGACCGCTGCCACCATCCCAAGTCCCTGACGTTCCGCTGGGTACTCCTGATCCTGCTCCCTCCAGCAGGCTCTTTCTCCAAGCCTGTGCTCTGCATTCCTGCAATCGCTCAGGGAGGTCGAGGAGGAGTTTGTCCCCAGACTACAAGGACAGGGTGATGGGTGTGGGGGCAGCACCAGGATAATCACTGATCAACGCATCCTCATTACTTTTTTGGTTTGGGGCCACAGTCGGGACTCACTCCTGGCGGTGCTGGGGGACCCTATGGGATGCTGGAGATCGAACCCAGGTTGACCACATGCAAGGCAAGCACCCTCCCTGCTGTCTTATCACTCCGGCCGAGCAGCTGTTGTGGCTAAGACGTAATCCTGGCCTGCCACCACCGTGTTGTGTAATGTGAGTTTGGCAACTGTGAGATTTTGAAATTTGTCTCTGAAGTGCCTTGCAGGGTATGTGCTATCTAGCGTCAGCTCTGGGGTGGGTCTGTAATATGGGGAATAGTCTGGGGCCTCTCTGTGCCTCTCATGACACATGGCATGACGGAATGGAAACCCCTCCTCACCACTCACTGTCACATGCATCACCCAGTAACTGACGCTGAAGATGATGCCTTTTAGAACAGTCCTTTTTTAAAACTTGAATTTAAATTTTTGAGTCACCGTGAGATACAGAGTTACAAAGTTGATCATGGTTGGGTTTTAGTCATACAGTGCTCCAACTTCCGATCCTCCACCAGTGTCCATTTCCTACCACCAATGTCCCCAGGTCCCCTCCTGATATGGTCCCCAACCCCCTCAGCCTGCCTCTATGGCAGGAACTTTCCTTCTTTTTCTCTGTCTCTGTCTCTGTCTCTGTCTCCCCCCCCCCCTTTTGGGCATTACTGTTTGCAATACACGGACTAAAAGATTATCATGTTTGTTCCTTTACTTGTTTTCAGCACACAGTTCTTGTCCAGAGTGATCATTTCCAACTGTCATTGTCACAGTGGTCCCTTCTCTATCCCAGCTGCCTTCTCCTTTAGCATTTGAGGCAGGCTTCCAATCATACATTTGATGGCAGAGCCTGATTCAGAAAACTCCAAGGTCACCTCTGGTTATCCATTGCCCCGTCCAGGAAGGTTCACAGAGGTGCAAAGAAGCAGAACCAACTTTTAAAAATATGTGAAGGGGATTTTTTTGTTTGTTTTTTTCCCTTTGCATCACACCCGGCGATGCACAGGGGTTACTCCTGGCCCATGCAGTCAGGAATTACTCCTGGCGGTGCTCAGGGGACTATATGGGATGCTGGGAATCAAACCCGGGTTGGTTGCCTGCAAGGCAAACGCCCTACCCGCTGTACCATTGCTCCAGCACAGAAGGGGACGGGTTTTAAGACGCAATTGGACTGGCCCTTAGCCAGGCAATCTGATTGGTCTACTGGGACCCTCCGGTTGTGATCTGTGATCTGATTGGTCGTTTTAAGTAAGCTATTAGATTAATGGGTTTCCAAGTCCCATTTATATCGGGTATAACCAATCAGACAACAGGGTCGGGGATACATAAAGTACCTAGCTTAGAGCACTGCCCGCGTGGATCCTTCCCTGACCCCAACCCTCCCTCCCTCACCCAAGAAAAAGGATAAAACAAATGAGCATAGTTTTTTAAATGCCATGCAGAATAGTACGGGGGGGGGGGGGGGAGGGGTTAAAGCATCTTGTAAGCATCTGGTCATGAGATTGACCCACACACACACACACACACACACACACAGACCCCCAGCATTCCACATGCACCAAGTGTGATCCTGGTGTCTCTGCCACCCCCAATGCCGCAAGCGATTTCCAGCCTCTCCACAAGCAGGTCTGTGAGTACCAGAAAAGGGGGTGCAACCCACAGTGAGCTCCATAGTGAGAAAGGTGTGCCAGCCTTCCACGGGGTCACAGGGACAGTTATAGCCAGGAAGGGGCCGGGGGCGTGGCCGGAAGCAGAGCAGGGGACTTGTCTGTGCCAAGCCACATGAGGTTTAATTCCCCTGTGACAGGAAAGAGGAGATTAAGGCAGGAAAGAGTGGTAAGCGTCAGTGTACATGCAGGAGGCTTGGGGTTCGATCCCTAGCACTGAGCGACCCCTGGAAACACTCAAGTTCAGCTCATGAGCACTGCCTGGTGTAGAATCCAAACAGAAAACAAAACAGAGGGGGCTGGAGAGACTGCACAGCGGGGAGGGCATGGTCCCCAGCACTATGCCAGGAGTGGTCCCTGAGTGCAGAGCTGAGTTAAGCCCTGAGCATCCCCGGGTGTGACCTCCCCCTCCTCAAAAAAAAAAGACAGAAAACAAGAAAGGGAAGGGGTGTGGGGTGGGAAGAAAGTTTTTTTAAAAGTTGGGGCCAGAGAGATAGCACAGTGGGTAGCGCACTTGCCTTGCACATGGCTGACCTGGGTTGGATCCCCAGCACCACATGGTCCCTGAGTCAGCCAGGAGTGACTCCTGAGAGTAGAGCCAGAAGCAAGCAGGTGTGGCTCAAATAAACAAACAAACAAACAAACAAACAAGGGGCTGGAG